ATGCAGTGGTTAAAAAAAAAGGAAGTTGCATGCTTTCCAGTGTAGCTGCTTCAGTAATTCCTAAATAGCTAATTTGTATTAGCATGAGAGATTATTCCATTAACAAGGTTTAAATTAATCTATTACAAAAGTACTGCCTCAGAGAGTTGCCAACAATTTGACCAGCAACACATTCATTTTTTCCTCTCTCAACTCTCTGTTTACTTTCCAGCTACACCACACTCACTTAGCACTAATTATCTTCATTTACTTCTATTATTCCGTATTGTATTTTTTTTCTGGGACTTTGTTTATCATCATAAATTTTGGCCTTTCAAAGCTGTACATCCTCTTTGCCTACATGCTAGCTTCTCTCCTATTCATTCACTTAACTGAGCACTAGATCATTTATATTGAATATATGTTTCCTAATGATCTTTTACTATGCATTTATTTGTCTTCTACCTCAACTAATTGAGTGATACGTGGTTCTCAATTTGGCATCAGCCAACAATTGATCACAGCTCTCTGCTCAATAATATATAGCAATTACTACTACAAACTCCCTATTTCAGAGATTTATATGGTGGTGACATGACTGGATTCCACTCCTACCATGAGATTTCACAACAGCATCACATGTAATAAGTTAAATTTTTTCCAATATAAATTATATCTTATGGCATTATGGATGAAAACCACAGTATAAAATTGCTCAAGCTGACACTGCAAAAATATGCTTTGGAATTCAAGGTCTAAAATTGCACTGTTCTTGGCAAAAATTGTGGAATTTTCTTTAAGCCTGGTTTTTGTTAAATTTACTGATTGATGTCTGAACACAAAAAGATAACATTATCCCCCAAAGTAGGTGGTATTTCCTTAAGTGAGGAATAATACTAATTACTGTAAAGAATTACTGACAAATGCTATTTTGATCATTCAAATTTGAAAGAGACTAACACCACATGTTTAAATTTTAGACCAATATTTTCTTTTCTTACTCAGACTAAATTACAGCATGATGTATTCTCTTAACAATAGAAAGTTCAAGCCTAGCATTAAGTTGATTCATCAATCAGTATGAATATGGTATATTTTCTTCTGTTGAAATTCTGTCAGGTCAAGAAAATAATTAGTATTTAACTCTATAATTTGTTTCCCATGTATAAAAGCCAGGAGAAACATCCATAACTTTACTTTCATTTGGGTAACAACAGAAATTTCTCCACAGCCATTTATTTCTTCATTCGTTGAATTCTGCTCATGTCTGAATATGAAATGCTGTACTGTCTCTTTGAGCACAGCACTTGAGATCAGTCTCTTATATAATTATATGGCCTTGAACAAAGACATTAATGTTTTTTCTTTCCTCTTCCATCTGTAGAATGTGGATATTCATACTTAAGTGCCTCTTGAATTAATTGTAGTTATTAATAGTTGTATTGATTAATAGTTAATGAATTCAAATTATTTTTATGGACCAAAATATTCTCAACCATGCAGAGAGGAGACTGGAATTTCAATTTTATTGAAAAATGTGAATTGAAAATATACTAATTTTCCAAACTGCAACAAACCCAAAGAATTTTGAAATTGTCTGAAAACCACGGAAGTCACACTCAATTTTGTTTCAAGAAAATATTTTCGGTTATATCTTATAATGGAATAATGAAGTAAATTGCAAAACAAGAAATTACTTCAAAATAGGAAAAAATATCTAGTACAAGATTTTTTTCAATTGAGAATCTGCTTGCCAAAAATATTGATCAACTGTAGTTTCATCTATTACAATTAGTGGATCATTTTAAAGATGACAAAAATGGTTTCACTATTAATCTAGAGATAAGTAATGGGAAAGTCCCAAAACTGCCCAGAGCAAAAAAAAATCTCAATACCCTATTATACAGTTTTTTTACTTATTCAGTGCTGCAGTTCCTGTGTCCCTTGCAAATCAATTAGTCTCTATCACAGTAATTACAACATTCTGAAGTACAAATTGACTTGTCAAGTTAGTTCCTCCATGGCATTCTCAGAGTCTTCAGTGCCTTTTTTTTTAAGCAGAAAATTACAGCAGCCAGCAAAATAAGCAAGCTTCTATCTAGTCCAATCCCCCTTCATTATAGGGACTGCAACAAAGCCAGGATTCTATTTCTTCCTGTTTGAAATCATGTATGGAAAACATCAGATTGGGGAAAATAACAAGTCATATTCTTCATCTCATCTTAGCACCACTGTTGACACTGGGCATCATTTCAACTCTGGCCATTTTTTAAGAATACTCTCACTTGGACTTCCAAAAAAAAAAGTCCTGCAGCAGCCATGGCCAGCTCCTGACTCCATTGCCATGGCTCCAAGGGAATTCCCTCTAGCAAAATTAAAGTGACACAGAGATAACAGTTCAGTTTGGTTATCTGCACACTGAGCAGGGCAGCTTTGCACCTGCAAACTTATATGGTATATAATCCAGGGCAAGAGAGAGGTAAATTTGAGCCAGCAAGAAAGGAAGGGAGTTGACCCACAAGGGAATGCTCTACACAACAGAAAAAGAAGATAAAAGGCAAAGATTTTCTGCTTTCAAGATTCCTTGAATGTGGCTTTTATTTTTTTTTTCTTCTTCACTAAAAGGTTATCTTTCTCTCTACAGGCAGTTCTTGAAACAGTGATCAGCAGATACTGTCCCAAACCTCCTCCTGATGTGCACTGTGTTATTCTGCTGGCATTGCTGGCAAAACCCCTCAGGTGCCATAAACCAGCCTATGAGCCCTCAGTAGAAGCATGGCAATTTACACCAGTGGAAACTCTGCTCTAATGATCCTACAGCAATTTATACCAGCCAAATGTCAGAAGCCACTATGGGAAATGCAGATGAACAGTCTTTAAGGGACAGCATCAAGAAAAATCTTGATTTTTTTTTTTTTTCCTTGGGCACAACAGTAGAATAACTTAAACTAACACTGTTACACTGATTAAGGAGACTGTTGAAGAGCCAGGGGAAAACTGAAGTACCAATCAGTTCCTCATTGCTACAAGGCAACACTGAGATGGAGAACCTGCAGAAATACCAAGTCACACAAGAATTTCTCTGCAGAATTGCTACCATGAGTCCAAAATCATCTCAGCTCAGTTCAAGGGCTGTCACAGCCACTGGTACAGATATTTTCCTCAGGGATGTTCTGTAAGTCACAACACCAGTCTAAAGTCAAGAAGTGTTCCTTCAGCAAAATCTTCACCAGGCTGCTTCTATCTGCCGTGGGTGAGAAAAGCTTCCTTCCTGGTTTGTTGGGGGTTTTTTTGGTTGGTTTTTTGTCTCTTGCTTCGTTTATCTTTTACTTTTATTTATTATTTTTACTCTTTCTGTCTAAATGTCAGAACCTGACATATGGCCACTCCTCCCATCGCTCCATCAGTGTCACAGCAAAGTAATTTGTGAAAGCCCTGCAGAATAATCTGCAGTCTGGGTCTTTCATATGGCAAACAAATACTTAAGGACAGGTCTCACAAGGCTTTTTTGCTTGATCTAATTTGTGTTATTTCAGTCTACAGCTTGATATAAAATGAAAACCTCTCTAGGGAATTAAATATCAAATAACATCACATTTTTTCCACTGCATTTAATAGTTTGCCTACCTGTCCTCAAGTTATTGAGAAAACCACTTTAAATTTTATAAAAAAATAGTGTAATTTTTTAAAAGTAATGGGGTTTGGTTTTACCTGTATTTCACTTGGCATAGTTTTCTTTTGATAGATAGGCTGTCCTTTGTAAATGGGCATATTTTAAAGGAAGTCATAAAATTTAAATTTTACAGGCTAAAATTTAAATACCAAGCCCTGATGAGGTAGGTATGTAAATTCCTCTCCCTTCTCTGAAGTATTCAAACCCACCTGGATGTGATCCTGTGCAAGCTGTGAATCTGCTTTAGCAGCTGGGTTGGACTAGGTGATCTCCAGAGATCCCTTCCAAGCCCAGCCACCCTGTGATTCTGCATCTTACAGCTTTAGCATGTGTCACAGATAAACTCAGAGACATAACTAGTTGATGATTTTATAACATGTAACCAGAAAGCAGACTTCTGGGATCCTCTTTAAGATTGTATTAAAAATTCATCAACTCTCTGAACTATTTAGGCAGGGAACTTTAATGTATTTACCTTAGGAATATTTTCTTGGCAGACTGATCTAAAAAAACAAGCAGTTAAAAAATACTAGTTTTCTGGATTTAAGTGTCTAAATGTTAGTTCTTTTGCTAGGTTGTGATCTACTCCCAGAGAAATGAAGAACTAAGGAAGAGTCTAGATTTCCAGATTTCTCCCCACTCTTTCATTTAATTATGAAATCACCAAACAAGCATCTTCAATTGCTTCACCTTCCTCTAAAAATGCTGTTGCCAAACAATGCTTCACAGATCACCAGGTATCCACACAGTGCTTTCTGCTGCTCTAAGAAGGTCCAGTGAGTCACTGCCTGCCTCTTTGCCACCTGCCACAGTGTACTAGACGCAGCTGAGAAACGTGTATTTTACTTCCCAGCTGTTCCTGTGCAGAACTGGAATTAGCAGAACTGCCCTGATCAGTCATCAGTGAAAGCAAGCACAGCCTGCCCCAACAAACTGTCCTGACACACAGCTCAAATTATTCCTGCTAAGTCAGATGGAGCAGTTTTCCTCAGAGCTGTACAGATTATATCTTATGGCATTATGGACAAAAACCACAGTATAAAATTGGGGACAGCAGCACCTGTACAAAGGTGCTGCTGTCTGCCTCTACCTGTCCTCCTGAACCCTGAGGGTGCAGAAAGAAGGAAAATAAACATGGGTTTTTAACACCAAAAACTACAGCAGAAATTAAAGAATGAGCCTTCTGGCTAGGATTCATAAGCAAACTTCTGTGCAGGTTGTGGGTGGCTACCAGAGACATATGTACAGTAATTCAATAAATTTAAAAACATACATTTCTTCTGTCCCGCACCTCCCCGCCAACCACTGAGTAATAAATAATGGATGGAAGTGGAAGTGGTGTACTGACCTCATCAACATTCTCAAATGCATTGATGACATCATAAGGCAGGCAGGAGAGCAGGTCAATCACAAACCAGGTCTTCAGGTAATTCATGCGGATCAGCTTGGGGTCAGAGATCACCTCCCCTGCCGGCCCCACAAAGGTGGTGTGGAAATTGAGCACAATGTCAACCAGAAAGATGACATCTACAATGCTGTCCACTACTAGCCATGCCACGTTGTTCTGCTTGGTTTTAAAGGAGACATTGTAAGGGACCAAAATAGCAGTGTAGAAGGTTAAAATCAGGATGATCCAGTCCCAGGTAGTCTTGAATACACAATAATGCAAAATTATATGCGGTGGAGTCTTTGGTGCCTCTTGTTTGTACTGTGGGAGGATTTCAGAACCCAGCTGCAATACCTGTAGTCAAGAGAGATTTGAGAGGAAAAAGAAAACATGCTTAGTTTTTTCACACTAGATTCTCAAGCTCAGTACAGCAGTTCATAAAAATTCATGTCCATTAACTCCTTTTATCACCATCAAATGGTTAGCAAGCCAAGAAAAGTATTCTGTTACACAAATCAGCATCAAACTAAGAACAGTTGTTTCTTTTAATGCCATTAATTATTTTTTGACACTAAGTCTACCGTGTGGAGTGTCCAAGACAAACAGAGAAGAGAGAAAAACCCTTCAGCTATCTAGACAGACGAGACAGAAAAATGATGGGCAAGAATAGGCAGGGAGGCCAGGGCGAATAGAAATTGATGGCAAAACCAGGAACAACACACAACTGAGCTCCAGTCCACCACCAGGACCACTGGACCACATTTTTTTTAACACTGGCTATTTAACTCTTCACTACACCCTGTCTGAAATAGTCTCATACTACAATTTATCATCAATTCACAGGCCTCTCTTCCTCTTTTCTGGGCTGTGCAGGTCCAAAGCCCACAGATGTTGCTGCACCTCTCTTCATAGAGAGCAGGTAGGCACAACTTCCCAAGGATATTTCCTGAGAATTGCAGCAAGGAACCTCAGAGAAAGAGAAAGCAATTCTTATCTCTGTTCTCTGCTCCTGTTGTTTTTGGACATGTGGAATGTGTTAAGAAGATTGTTTACTTAAAGAGATTTAGTAATTAAATTCTAGGAATAGTTGTTTATATTAATTAACCAATCACTCAAAGCCGTGTCCTGGCTGTCTAGAGACAGTCACAGGTTTTTCTTTAGCATCTATCTTTTGTATAGTATAGTATCAATATAATATAATATAATATAATATAATATAATATAATATAATATAATATAATATAATATAATATAATATTTTAATAAAGCAATTATTCAACCTTCTGAATCAATAGGCTCAAATACCAATCATTCCCTGCGTCAGGGGCACACTACTTTTTGATACAAGGATATCTATCATTAGCCTCAATAAACTCATTTTGGACTTCACCTTTTCATTCAAAGTTCAGTATCTTAACTACCTGATGGTGTGGAATCACAGAAAGATAGAGTCATTAAGGTTGGAAGAGACCCCTAAGATTGTTGAGTCCAAAAATTAACCCAGTACCACCGTGTTCACCAACAAACAAATTGGAGAACTTCTCCCAGGTGCCACATCCACACACCTTTTGAACACTTCTAGGTACAGTAATGCCACCATTCCCCGGGAAATCTGTTCCAATGCTTGACAACCCTTTCAATGAAGAAATTTTTCCTAGTATCTAATCTAAATCTCCCCTGGTGCAACTTGAGGCCATTTCCCCTGGTCCCGTACTTGTTGTCTGGAGGAAAAGACAGATCTCTCCTCGTTCTTCAACCTCCCTTCAGGCACTTGTAGAGAGGGGCTGGTCCCCCTTGAGCCCCTTTTTCTCCTGGCTAAGCAATCCCAGCTCCTCCTCATCAGACTTGTTCTCTGCACTCTTCACTGCCTTCTTTGCTCCTCCTCGGACATGCTCCAATGCCTCAATGTCCCTCTGGCTATGGGGCCTCCAGACTGAGTGCAGGATTTAGGGGACCTGCCAAGGCACACTGTTGAGTTACACTGCAGCTGGGTCTGAATTCAGAAAAGCACTACTGCAGAAGATGATCTGCCAGCATGTGTTTTAAACCCTGGACCTCAAGCTGAGCACACGTTGATACCGAGCACTATTTTGCATAACTGCACTCTCAATCAATGCTGCCCATTTTATGTCTTTTCTCTCTCCAGTTCTGCCCACTGCTGCAAAAACAATATTAACATGTATGTAATTCTTGGGAACTCAAGTTTCTTTCACATACCTATGAATAAAAATGTGTTTGTTTATATGCATGGATATACACGAGGGTGAAACCAACATCAAGAACCTGTGTCCAAATAAAGAGAAGTTAAATTTTAAAGCAAGTTTTACCCTGGATGAATTATGAATGAAAATTGAAAGAAACATGAAGGCTTGCTTGAGTGAAATGTGTTTGGTAATGCCAAACTCACAGAACCTGTGAGAAGTATTTAGGAGCATGGTTCCTTTTTCACATTTATTTACACATAGTTCAGAGCAATAGGAAGCAGGGAAGGAAATTAAATGTCTGTTTTTCTCTGGGAAAAGATAAGACAACACAGCTAGAATAGAAGGATGTCTTCCTTTCATTCTCCTTATCTCAGCTTTTTTAATGTCAGTTATTTAGACGTGGATTTTATCTCCAGGCTTTTCTGAGTGCCTTTTTTTTTCTTTTATTTTTTTTTTCTTTTTTGGTGAACTGGTGAGATTTTTTCCAACAGTTTCAGCCAAAGGGGACAAAAGAAAACGATCAGCTACACAAGATCTACTTGGACAAAACAGTCTCAGATGAAATTCCCTGCTGCTTTGAACCTCACATAATCACTTACTCGTGTACACAACAGGGGTCAGACACTGTCAGAGCACAGCTCCTCACACACGTGTAAATGAGAATGGGAATTGCAAGCCTGCTGACTTTGAGCCCAGTATGTTCTCCTGAAGAGAATTAACATGACCTGCTCTGACAGACCTGCATGTTACCACAGAGGCATTAAGAGTTTGGAAAAAAAATTGATTTAAAAAAAAAATAAGAGGACTCTGTATTTTTGTTAGTGCGTGTCTAGAATGAGAGCAAAGAGGAGAAATGAACATTTTTCCAGCAGACCCAACTACGACTCAGACATGTTCACTGCAGTATTACACAGTCTATTGATGCTGACGCTGATTCATGTATGTTCTCCGTACAACCAAAAATAAAAGGGAATTAAGCTGTCCTGTGCTGAGAGGAGCTGGAAGCAGCACAAGGCACATGCAGGCTCTCTTCCTGCAGGAGGCACTGGCCAGCCCATGCAGCCCCAAAAGCCCCTGGTGTGACTGGAAGAGGCAGAGGTTGTGCACCGAGTCCCTGTGTGTACTCAGAGCATCATTCCCTTCAGGCCTTGTTTGCAGTCCCAGTGACAGATGTTGGGATGTCTTTTCCCAACAAAAGCTCTAGCCCAAATCAATACTGCAAATATCTCCTGCCCTCCCTTTTGCACATTGCAGCTGTACCTGAATCACTTGGAGAGCAATGAGCTACTACTGGCATTCATGAGGTTTACTACTGGTTTACCAGGTTGCTACTGGTTTTCATGAGCAGCAGCTCTAACGCAGAATCCTAAGCCTGAGATATGCCTCACTGGGCAAGGAGAGTCCTCTGCAATCCTCATTCACTGGAATAACTGATCAGCAAAACCAAGCACCTCCATCACACAGTAACATTTTTCATTTAGCAGGATTTCAGTTCTAGTGCTGATATTTTACTGGTGTGGGGAGATAGGATCACCCTTCAAATGCAGCAGGAAAGCATAATTGCTTCTTCTGCAATCACAGGCCTACTATAGCTTTTTTTTTAGCCCCTGGTATTACATGGCTAAGTCCAATATTTTGGTAACTATTCTAATCAGCATAGAAACCTCAACCATGAAAAACTGAAAAAAAAATTGTATGCTCTTGTCAGGTGGTTCTTATATATACATACATAAGTTATAGACTGAGAATTGCATAATGCTCTCTGTTTTGGTCACTGCTGCTCTCTTTGTACACCAAGAATTTGGGGAAATTTTGCATCAAAAGAACTAAATTTCCTGAAAATTTACTAATGTATACCTGCATACCAAATTAGGGGAAAAGGCAAGAACAATCTCTGTTTGGCAAAAAAGAAGGGGCTAAATTATGGTGTTCATTGTTTTGCTGTAAATAGAAAAAAAGCCATTAAAATAAGGCCAGTGGAACCCTAAGGATGTAAAACTGAACTGTGAAAGCAGAAAAAACAGACTTCTAGTTCCAACTTGTTAAGACAATAAACTGCTGCTTCAGTGTTTTAAAATGTCATCACCAAATACAAAGCACTCTCGCCTTACTTGTTTGAGATTCAAGGGCTACAGCACAGGAAAATAAAAGGATTGATGACTGATTGATCTCCTTCCCTTCCTATTTAGAAAGTAAACATACTCTAAACTATATGAATAGCTAGGGACCTTATAAATAAGTCTTTTGAACTTCTGTTACCCCCCTGGAGTCTCTAGAGAAGCCCTAGCAATGGTTATTTAAAGAGACCAGTGGCTTTAGTTGGTCTCCAGCAGAAGCATTGTGGGCATGAATCCTGAATGGAGGGGCAGGAGACAGGCATCAAGGAATGACACAGGGATTCCAATCAATCACCAGATGGGGAAAGCCACCTGCAGAAAGCCAGAGGTGCCTCCAGTCTTCTTTTTGGCTGGGATGGAGGTGAGAAGTTCTAGCCTGGCTTCCCTCTCACTACATCACTGACACACACCTTTGTAAAACCAGCCCATCTTGCTGGCACTGCTGGAGATGATTTCACAGCCTGAGGTGAAAGAAGGCACTTTCCCAGCTCACACTATCTCTCCCAGCAAAGGCAACTTGCTTTGCACACTGGCAAGAATCTCACAGTGCCAGCCAGGAGCTCTCAAAGGCACCAAATTCTTAATTTCACTGAAGGAAGCGAAACACGCCTACAACAAAGCTTAATCTCAGAGAACAAGCATGTGTCTTTATCATAAAGCACAACAGAAGAGCTCAGTACTGCATGGAAACCATGGAAGGAGGTCCACAGAGCTTAGTGCTAAAGATCAAGGTTTTCTTAGGTCACTGCACTGGAAGTTACAAGAGCTCCCTGCTCCACTTTTCACCCCAAGGGCCACACCAAGTCTATTTCCTCATCATCCTTCCCCCCACACACCACCCCTGGGTCATCTGGAGATTGAGAGCCATAAACCCCACTCTCTCTGCACCATCCAGCAAACCCAGGTCGATGCAAAGTGCCTTCTGCCCTATTCCAAGGTGCTCCTGCTGCACTTCAGCCTCTAGGGAGAGCAGTGCCGACCTGAGACAGGTTTGCTGAAGTAGTCAAGCGTGGTTACACACTCACACGAACTAACCACATTCAAACTGCTTGTAAAGCTACTTCTCCTGGAGAGGGAAAAAACCAAACCCCAAGAGACTGATAGAAAAGTAATCATGAAGAAAATGTACACAACTATATAAACCAATATGCTGAGCTTCCTTTCATGCGCATTGGACAATTTGATTACTACAATTTTCTGAATAATTGAAACAGCTCTGGTTTTGGAAGACTTTTCACTATTATACAGTTTTATCATGGTAAAAGAAATAAACTTATTAGTGAAAGTATCATTTCAGTTGGTTATTATTCATCAGAAAGTGCAGCTGTATTATCTGCATTTATTATTTGTGGTAATGATGCATGATGTTTTAATATCTCTCTAACGCTGAAGAATTTTATTCCAAGAGCAGAAATGCCAAATTTCATCATGGGTTTTAAAAGACTGTGTTCTTTTTTAAACACAGCAAAATTTTTTTAATCCTATTCTTTTTTTACAAAATGGTGAATATATCCCAAGTCAGGAGTCACAAATTGCGTCAAATGTGGTTACAATGATTTATTTATTTTTATGACAGTATGACTGGGGGGCAGAAAAAAAAGCTAACACAAGCACTCACTCATTTCCAGCTTAATCTCTCCTTTTCATGTTTTCAATTGCACCTATTTGCTTTCTCTCACTCCCTCCTGTTTTGTTTTCCCAAGCACTGACACAAATTGCTCCCAAACTAAGGGCTAGGTGCTAAGGCTCAATATTTTGATTGGCAGTTTTAATGGCAGTTGTAAGTTCCTGGTAAATAATGTTAAAAAAAAACCTGGCAGAAGTTCCATTCTTAAGCAGTGCTGCTAAGCACCATTATAATTTCTATGGTTTTATTTTTCATAACTATATTTTTTTTTAATTTTGACCCAGTCTTGTTTGCCCAGAACTGCCTGGCAAAGGTGCAGAACACATCAGCTAAGACCACAGGTGCAGATGACACACGTACTCATTCAGATGTGACCAGGAAGAACCATCCCTACAATCAGCTCCTTGGTGATTTAGCAACAGAAATGCATCAGCTACTTTTACAAACTACTATTGCAAAATGTTGTCTCACAGTTACCTAACACCTTTGTGTTAATTGCATAATTAACTTGAGTAGTTTTCATATGACTGCTATTAGAGAAGTCAGGCTAAAAAAAAAAATCTGTGCCTACTGGCAAAATTCAGAGACTGAAGCTTCACAGACAGTGCTTGTATTATCCATGGCCTGTTAGTCTGTCACTAACACCTTTCTTAAACTGTTCCATAAACAATAAAAAATTGTAAGCTGTTGTGGCAGGCTCCAACACCTTGCTCTACTCAGGTTCTGGGACACAACAGCCTCCCAAGACATTCAAATATATAAGTGATAAATAACTAAGAGCAACACAAATAACACTGCAATAAACGTGGAGCCTTCTCACACAAACAAGATTGATGTGAAATGTCACAGTGAGTAGCAAAAGAAAAAGGATGACTTTTTAAATTTCAGATAGGCTACTGCAGAGATGAAGAAAAAAAAATAAAAAATATTTGAAAATACAACAGGAAACTGTTAGAGATCCCATATTCAATATTATCAAAAAACCTTTGCAGAATAAGAAGCCTGGCACCCCATAAATCTTCAAATAAAGAAAGGTGGTCTTGTCTGTATGATTATCTGAATTCTTCTTTTTTCTGTAGTGTAGTTCTATTGGCTTAAATGGAATTACAGCAGGAAAAAAAGCTACCTAACATCACAGCTGGGGCTAATGTTCTTTGTAAAATTATGACTGCAATATTCAGTCAGCAATTAAAGAAACTCATTTCAGACACGTAAACTATACACTTGCCCTTTATTATTTGTAATGAATCAATTGGCTGTGCCAGTAAGAATACTTGCAAAGACTTGTTGAGCAGATGAACTTGCAAAAAGTTTCAGTAACACATAGTCACTGACGTCCAGACTGTTGCCAAACAGAATAACCTCAGGCCCTTTGTCTTACATTTTGCTGCCTACATTTTAGCATTAACTAAAATTCAAGGGTAGGGATCTAAAGAGAAGAAAGGATTATTTGATATGAAGCCTGGAGTAGGATTAGGAGGAAAACTGTTCCAAATCCCAGGATACTAAAGTAACATCAGGGTGGACATGTGTTAATTGCATGGTGTTCCTGCAGTACGGTGTCCGTGGGAATGTCCCCTGTGCTAGGATGATCCATGTTATTTCTCTGCTCCAACAGAAATTGGTTTCCCCTTCTTGAGTTCTTCTGTATTAAATACTGACTAGGTAAGATCCTGTCTGCAGGAATTTTGCCATTATACATTATAAGAAGACAGGTGACTTTTAGTTTGCACAGGAACTGAGACGTATACAACAGAACCAGCAGAGTGTAGTACAACTGACTATGTGGACACCCCATGGAACCCATCAACACCTTACACCTCCAGCTGCACAGGAAGATCAAGAATTACTGCCAAGTCAGAGCTGCTGCCAAGGCATTCACAGCAGGAAGTGCCATGTTGTATTGGCTGTGCTGTCATTAACACCGTGTCAAACCTCTCCCCAGGCTGTTCTTACACCAGGGAGACCCTGCTACTGGCCCAGGAGACAACTACAGGAAACTTGGGACAGTCTCTCCCCCTCGTGGTGAAAGCCCTCAAACCCTAAGTGCTTCAAGGGGCCTTCTCTGCCTGCAGTTTATCTCAAACTTTTGAGAGGCTACTTAAATCACAAGGTTTCACTTTCCTAATCTCCTTGCAGTGCTGCTTGTGGCATCTTACAACCGTTCCGTCCATAAAAGCAGTAACTTAAACATAGTTTTTAACCAGTTCATAATGCAGGGTTGGAATCCCACTGAAAAGTAACTAGACATGAATTAATATAGATAATAACTCTGCCATGGATTCTCCAGGATTCCCTTGTGCACTAAACTGAGTTTTTCTCACCTCAGTTTTACATAATTAGATAGTCCAAGATCCTACTCTTATTAAGATCATCAGAAGAATGGAAACTAAGTGAGAAAGTATTATTTTAATAACACCTTTCTAAGACTTTGCTAAGATATGGAACTGCAGTTAGGTTACATGAAGTCTTTGGGACACCTGCTTTCATTCTGCTGTCATAGGACACATCTCACAGCACACAAACCAGATTCCCAGGGCAGGGAGGACTGACAGTGCTTGGCTCACACAGAGATGACATACCCACAAAGGCTAAAAACATTTCATAACAGCCTCCTGGGGAAAGCAAAAATTACCTCAGCAAGTCTTGAGTGCTTGTGAACGTTCTCTCCTTTCTGCACGCTGGGAGCAAGCTGCTGCAGCACCCCTCGGCTGCTCGTGAGGGCACGCGTCAAGCGGGCAAACTTGCCCCAACCTTGAGAAAACATGCAAGATTAGACACACGTTACCAAAAAAAGCTGCAAGTGTACCTCATAAAACCTCTTATATGACTAAAGGGAGAAAAAGTTGTTAAAACAGAGCAATCTGCTTTAATATTGACCAGAAGGGTGTATAATTTAACCAAGTAGCAGATAAAAACAAGTCAGAGAATAGGTGTCAGCGTGGTACAGTAATAAAACCCATGACTGCTGTGACTTTGTATTCAATGACTCTACAAAAGTACTGCCACGTGAACTGCATATTTTGCAAGGATAAATGTCCACTATACAATAATCTCATATTAAATCTAATGATCCGATTTGGATCTCACAGCACTGCAGAAGACACTTCAGACTAATCAAGATGTAAGGCTAGAGTCATGCACAATGAAAATTACAGTTGTCTGTAATAGAAGTGAATCTAGCCTCAGATGCATCAAGCATAGATCTGGAATAAGCAGAGAAATATACATAAGATAATAAAAAGCAGAGCAGAAAAGCAAAACAAAACCATTAATTTTACTCTCTCTAAACAAAAGGGGGAATATACTAATAGATTTTCTCAAACACGAATTAAACATTTAGCAGCTTCTGGCAGAGAAGTCATATGCTGAATTTTAATTCAGAATATTTTTTACAGTGATTTCAAATATCCCTGAAAATAGAAGACCTTCAGTGACAGTCACAACAGCTAGCTACAACTATAATTTTTATGAGCAGTACTTTGCCATAACTTGTAGGCAGAGTGTACATCTGGATATTTTTGGTATACTGAAAGGAAGAAACAGTGCATTTAGTCCCAATCTTGAAAAAATGCTAGCACCACCTGGGAGCTCTTGAGCTCCTACCCCTCATCACCAACTCCAACTAAGGATGCTCAGCACTTTGAAGATTCAGTTTATAATGAGAACCTGGCTCTGGAACACGTTGCCTACACAACTTTCTCGTAGATCCCTACTGGGTACTGGAAGGTGCTATGAGGCATCCTTGGAGTCTTCTCCTCTTCAGGCTGAGCACACACAACTCTCCCAGTCTGTCTGCACAGCAGAGGTCTTCCACCCTCTGAGCATCTTTGTGATCCTCCTCTAAACTCCACAGGTCCTTCTTACACTGGGGACTCGGGGCTGAGTGCAGTACTCCACGTGGGGTCACATAGGATTGGAGTAAGGCAGAAGTGTAATTTTCCTTGACTGCTGGCCACGCTGCCTTTGATACCCCCCAGGATACAGCTGGCTTCATGAGCTTCAAGGGCACCTGGCCGAGTCGCGGCCAGCCGCTCCCCGGCCCAGGTGCAGGGCTTGGCAGGTGCCGGGCCCGCTCCCAGGGGCAGCGGCCATCGCCCCTCAGCGGCGCGGCGGGAGCGCGGCGGGCCGGGCGCCGGAGCGGGCCGGGGCTGGAGCTGGCCGTGGTGCTGGAGCCGAACGAGCCGGGCTCGCTCGCACAGGTCAGCCCCGAGGGAAACGAACAGAGCACGGGGCTCCAGCCTCGCCCGGGAACTCCAAACCGGCCTCCCCTACCACGCGCAAAATGTTTCTAATGCCAGATAACAGACAACTCCTTTTACTAACTCGAACCGGACTGATGGGGAGGGAATTCTCCTGGTAGAGGCGAAATTTGGTTCAAAACCTGAGGACAAACTTTCAGCGTGCATTTTCTTCCAGACATTGTTCTAAGATTTGGGCTATTTGGAGATACACAGAGGGAAGATCAAAAGGAAGCACCTCACTTGAGCTTTGCTGCACAAAAAGCACTGCCAGACAACTCTGTGCTATGATTTGTGGCTGTGAATGCTGAGCACCTTCGGGTGTCCCCCCTTCTTCCCAGGAGCCATCTCCTTTTGAAAGGAACAGTTTAACCCATTCCTCTCTCCTCAGCATCCCCTGCAAGCACGTCCTCTGCCCTCCATGCTGAACATCTCACTTGTGGGTGCCTAAATGGCCCACAAAAAAACCTGTTTCCACAAACATTAGATCTCCCCCTCCAAGCTCTGAAAGCAATATAGCTGTTCTAGGCAAGAGATTGTGTCTCTTTTCAGCTTGGCTTTTCAAAACAGTGTGGACACAAATTGGCAGTGCATACCCTAATTCTCTCCACACACAGGGTACCACACTTGGGAGCCCCACTAGGAGACGCTCCCACCACTGTGCCATGGTATGCCTAAAACCAAGCACTGAATCCATGTGCAACGTGTAAGAATTTCATCTTTAGAACACAACACCCTCCTCCTTTTGGGGTTCTGGGTTTTGTGAAAGAAAAAGATAAAAATGTGGCAACTCCAACATACAGTTAGACCTACAGATTGTGGCATAGGAAAAAGAAAATAAAAATTAAACAGAATGCCAGTACTAAACCTTTTGAATCATAACATCTCCAGTAATGCCTGAAAAGACAACCTGTTGAATTTATTGCATTTTTTCATCCAGAACCCGAAGAACAGACACAGCCAACAGCAGGTCAGTTATCTATCCAACAAAGACAGGTCCAGTAATGGACTTAAGCCATAGGACTGAATACAAACACTAAATTTTAAGGGTCATGGAGCTTTCCAAGATGAGGAACTAAGCTTCAAAAAGGTGTAAAAATATATTGGTGTCAGTCCTGCTAAAACAGACAGACCAGGTTATATGGATTAGGAGTTCTCTTTCAACAGAAGCAGATGGTATAGCCCTACATCCATTGTTTTCCTCTAGAAACAGAGAAAATATAAATTAAATTTAAAATCTAGTGATCCTAGGTGGTTCTAATACAGGCATATAAAATCCTCAAACAAGATAGAAGAGAAGACAGCTTGAAATTCAGGAACCAAACATAAAGATGGATACCATCCCATGGCAGTGCTTGCCTGTGCCCCTGCTGTTGATTTTAACCCATTTTTATCATTGTTTGGTCTCTTTTTTCAGTTCTGCAGAAAATATCATGCATAGACAAAGCAATGAGATGGCATTAAAACATTTCCAGCTTCAAAGGGATGGAAAGCCTTCAAGATTAACAGCACTGATTGCAGCACTCCTGCATTCCACACTGTTCTTTCAGTTTTCCACCATTTCTTCGCAAAAAGGTGAACAGAAATTGCTTCTGATAACACCCAAGACAAGATGATTACAAAAGCTGTCCCCTGAGATTTGTTTCATGTGGAAATATGGCATTGAAATACACTTTTGTGCTGTGGCATCAAAACTTTTCTTCTTTAAAGCATGGATTTCATTTAACAATGGCCTTAAGTTGAATTTTCCGTAATTTTAAGTAAGTTGATACTCAAGCACAAAGCACTTGTTATTTATTTGAAGGTAGCTATTTGTTTCCTACCACTCTTCTCAATTCATTCCTGATAACTCAAGAATTCAAACATTGGGAACTGTGGCAGTCATAGAACCCTTGTTACCAGTTGCTGATCCATGACTTACACAATTCCTAGAGTCAGAACAAGAAGCAATTGTCTGCCAGAGAACAAGCTTGTTTGTGAACAGCCCTGTTGTTCACACAACTGTGTAAATGTGAATAAATCAAGACTCCAGCAGTTCTTGCCTCCACTCAAGCCACCTTTGTATTCCCACACATGGAAGATCCTTGCTTACATCCATTCTTCTCTTTGAAACCTCATGACTAAAACAGTATCATTTTTCCATCTGGACTGGGAATGCATACTGAAGTTTTTAATATACTCACTACTTCCCCTTCATTTGTTTCCTCTTTTTAAGAAAACATTTCATCCAGATGAAAGCAGAGTATATCTTAATCAAAATATTTCAAACACTGGCTCTGTTCATATAAATACATCTTTAAAAACAGAACAAAAAATCCCCCAAAAAATCCTCCAGAAACAAAAAGGGGAAAAAAAAGAGGAAATGTGAATTTTCCCCTGAATTAAGATGAAGGAGACAAAATGTTTTTTGTGTCTGTGCCCCTGCTTGTTATGCAAAGGACAGCTTAGCTGCAACATGAACTAAAGCATCTTCTGCAGAGGAGATGGCAACTGATGATTGCTACAAAGCACAGAAGGCTACATCATCTTGGAGGATAACAACCATTCACTACTTGATTCAGTGATGCTGAATTTGACCACCTTTTTGTATAAAAATGAAGTATCAAAAGCATAAATTAGGTTCCAAAGCTTAGTTTTCAAGCTCTTATGTGACAGCATAGATGCTTCTCGATATGTTCACCTTGTATTCATACATTCAAAACCTGTTCAGGCAAACTTCTTACAAGCCACTCAGAGTGCAAGCACAGTTTCTATTTGTCTGCATAAATAATTGTTTTGCATAAAGTGATGCATTCCACTTTATACACTACTCTCAAGCATCTCATACTTGGTATGCTAGATCTCAAACCAGGAGAGACATATACAGACAAAATGCATTAAATCCAGATACAGTATAAACTTTAAAATTCAGCTAAGAAGGTGACCTAGCACTCGACAAGCCAAACTTAGCTATGCTATTGCTTGATTTTGCCTTCTTCTATTCAAGTAAACCTCTTTTACGCTTCCCTGATTTTTTTTTTGAGGGGCAAGCAAAGGGAAAAAAGTAGAAAGAGGTTGTTTAAAAAAATTATCAACATCACTGACACTATTTTTAAGCGGTTTTATTTAGAATACACTATTTTTAAAGCTGCTGCATTTAAAAGCAAGCTTACTTACCTTCCATGGAAATCATAAAATAATCATTTCTAAATTATCTGAATCAATTAAAGAAAGGCCACAATGAGAAGTCTACTTTTTATGTGACTTACTTGTTTCATCTATTCCAATGTCTGACATTATTAATCAATAAAAAAACAAGTAAGCATGAAAAATGGTAATGGGACCTTCTATTCCTCTGAGTCACCTTCAGGGGAAAGATGCCTATTCATCTTTGTATAGTCAAACACCTGCCATTACAGCTCTACACTTTTCACTCAAGGAGCTGCATCATTTGCAGCTGAACAATCAGGCTTGAAATTGCCAGCAGGTGATAGAAAACCAAGATACACCACAGCTAAGCAGGCTTAGCCTGACAGATCAGTTGCTCCTTATGCAGTACAAGAACATGATCGATTTAATGGTTTTCTTTACACAGACATGCAGGCATTGATTCTGAAAATCTTAAATGCTTTAAACTAAAATGTCCCGCAACTGTGCAAAGAGCACATTTTATTAACATATCTGCATCTACAGGCAACCTGTTACATACTAAGTACTCATAAGCATAGGAAACTGATTACACATACAGTAAAGTATTTGCTAAGCTAACTGAAGGTGAAAGAAGGAAAAGAATTGATTTAGCAATCAGTTTTCAGTTCACAGTTTTAGTTTTTCAGATTAAGAGTTCATTTGGGTTGAGAATATGAGAAACATTCCTAAGAAAATTGCCCTCTTTCAAAAGCGTGTTACAGAGTTCCTGTGTAACGCTGCACACAGCACAAAGAATATGCCCTCTTCAAAGCTCATGTGTGTTAATGGTTCTCAGAACAAGCTAGTACAATTTTACCTTTTTTAGATCTTCCAAAAGCATTTTTCCACTCTGTGAATCCCAGAGCCTACTACAGATGATTATCTAACGTCTCATATCTGCCTTTTCTTCCCCCTCTCACAGCATGCAATTGCACAACGAGATCTTGCATTAAAGACATGGACACACATGTAAAATTCTGTTTGACATATCAGCTCCTCCAAGAAGTTGCTCATCTAGCCATCCAGTGATTAATACAATATCACATAACAAAATTCCTACAGCAAGTATATTATGGAAGAAAAAGGGATAAATTAAGGATGAAAACAGAAAGTGCAGTTCCATTTATATCAAGATTGATTTGTGTATAAAGTGACAGAGAACTCTTTACCAGCATGAAACTTCTGAAACTTTATTAATTTTAGGAAATCCAGAAATAATATTTGGAAGACTCATTTAGTGCACAAGTCCTTCTGTACATAAAGACATAGCAGTCAGGGAAAGAGTGAAGAGCTGTCAATCAGTGGCCTCTAAATAATACATTCAGTTCTTCTGTCTGCAACCTCTGTTAGTCATTTTGCCAGTTTTCACGGGCCTGAGGGAGAAATTCTGCTCATCATCAACTCCTCTGCAAGTCCATGCACTTATGTGTAGGTTTAGTGCCTATACTGCTGCAGATGTGCAACCACTGAGAATTAGCATGCTCACTGCAAGAACAGCATAATTTCAAGATACAAAGGAGACTTAAAAAGAAAAAAAAAATGATCATTCCCTTTCTTCAACAAACTTGTATTGAAAAAAAGAAAGTGTTAAAGTGTTTCTTTGTGTTGAAAGTGAAGGACAAACTGCCTATCTCTACCACATTAGGGAACCCCTGTGAAAGCCAAAGGACACAGCGAGCATTCCTGACTGAGTCCTGCTTATCAACTGACTAAATGAAGCAAGGGCCTTCACTACCAGCTAATAAATGAGAGCCAGCTTTACTGCATCATGCTTATTTATCTGTGCTGTCACTCCTCATCAGTATACAGTGAGCACCATTAGGCAGGAAAAAAATAGACCCAAACTTTCTGACAAGCTAAGATTTTTAGTTTTATTAAAACAATAAGGAACCAAACAAATAGTATTAACAGGAGAAAAAAATTATCCACATAGCCTAGAAGAGGGTATGTTTGTCAAGGTTGTACTTCCTTTTTCATGGTAACAGGTGTTTCCACTTTGAGAAACTATGTTTTTAAAGAATAACATTTTGAGAACAAATGTAAATCAGTTCATCTTCACAGTAAGTTTCCTGTTTAATTTAATACTACAAATATTATTAAATACTACAAAAATGCAAACAACAGGAGAACTTACATCCTTTTTCACCCCAGAGGATGCAAGTCTCTGTAATCCTCCATAGGGTACAAAAGGTCTGTTTCTGACGGGATCTGAACCTGAGTGAAAGTTTATGCTGCTGTCACAGCTGAGTTTGCTGCCAGGTTTCCAGGCTGTAGCTCAGCAAAGGGTTAAGAGCAGAACACTGCAGTGCTACTTCACTCTCCAGGACAGCTTAAACCTGATTCCACTTAAGATAACTGGAATCTCTTCACATAGGCTAAGGGAAACTAGAACAGGACTTTAACATAAGAAATCCCATAATAATGACAAGCAACATCGAGTCAGGCAGAATTTAATTATTCTGAACTTTGCTAGACTCAGCCAGGGTTGATTCCTCAGTTTTTTTCATGCAGTTTCACACACAATTTGTACAGGGTTGTTGAGCAACATTGTGAATCCTTGAGGGCTATGCTGGAGAGTGGGTTAATAGTGTATTTTAAAGGAAGAACAGTACCTACTTACTATGTAAACTGGTCTTTCTGAAGCACTTGGGGCTTTCATTAGCAATGACCCTTTCCAGGGCAGGCCAGAACAATTTTACTAAAGAAATCAGCAACCATTTCTTGCACAAATGCCATCCCCAGTGGCACAGCTACAAGCTATTTTAACATTTCATTCTTTGCCTTGGGTATTTAAAGGACTTCAGCTCTTTCAAGACCAGGGCAAACAAGCAAAAGCAGCATAAATATATAATTGTGAAAAAGACCAACCTTTACATGAATCATCCTCAATGGGCTGCTTGAAAGCTGTTATGTCATTGAAAGTGCAAAGAAATAAAACCACTTTATCCTGCTCATTTCGAATTGGAGCAATTTTCACAAAGAACCAGACAGGTGTTCCTGGAAACAAACACATCAAAGAGTTGGTCAATGGCAGGCAGAACAGTAAATGTGCCAGTTCAGATGTTTACATCTCAAATCAGCCATCTGCAAAAGTTACTTTAATGTTGGCTTTTTTTACAAACGCCTATTTGGAAAAATAACAAAGCAGCTGACAAGTCTGGTATTTAAGTTCTCTGCTCTGTCTCTTCTTAGCTTTTTAATCTTCCAGGAATCACCCTATTTCTGAACTTCACCTGGAAAGTTAACACTTGAACTTAAGAACTGCTTTGTGATCTCCCTAAAGAAGAGTCCCACATATTTCCAAAGGCTGCACACAACAGCGTCTTGCTGGTTCTTGAATGATTTGAAAATGGGCCAGCTGTGCCTAGGACATGAGCATAACACAGAGTCTCAACTCAGGAATATGACCAGTTTGGTCAACTTTATAATTCCCTGCCAACAGGGAATGCCCTAAAAAAGACGATGCCCTAACTACTATAGTAGCCTATGTCCATCTTAAGAGCTGGGCTCCAGGAGCTCTGGCCCAGCCTGCAAAGCCCCCCATGCAAGGGAAACCCTTCACAAGCTGCTTTCAAGCTTGCCTTGGCCTGAGCCTGCTCCAAATCACTCCACTGTGAAGCAAGACTCCCCTGAATTCAGGAGAGAACAAGCCATTAGGACCAGATCACATGATGCTGTGGATGGGATCAAGTTGTACTGCATGAAACTGCACCTTTCTAATTACTGCAGCAGATGAACTGCTAATTAAACTGCTTGAGAGATTGAAGTCTACACATCACAGAAAAAGATGGTCTCACAATACGACCCTTCAGATGCTGCTGCTGCCATTTCTCCTTGACCTCTACCCACACAGATCACCTTGAGGAGAGAATCTGTCAGTCAGCCCTGCCTTTTCATATTTCTGGCAGTTCTCCTGACACTGCTGAGAAGACCCAATGAAGTTCCATGTAACAAGGCAGTGTCTACCACTCTTTTCACAGGACTCACCACTCAGTCCTGTGACTCACACTGCTTTTAGTGATATTTGAGTATAAGCTGATTGGAGAGCTCAGAACAAAGCACTTGGTCCTGTATGCAAGAACATGACCTCCCTGAAGGCACCATTTTTAAGTCTGCAGTCTTAACTTAGAGATAAAAAGATGACTTCTCCAACTCTGAGGTACATCACAGTAGGGATACTCCAGACCTCAGCCTTCAGGGAGTTTGTACATGGGTTTTCAGACTGTCCCTACACCCTCAGAGATGATGAAAACTCACCATTGCCTTTGCAAGCGCAAGAAGTAAGAGAGAAGATTCAGGGTTTCTTGCTGCGAGCAACATTTTTTCTTATACGTCCCTTTAGAGATTTGTTTGGAGAGAAAGGTCTACATACCAGGGGCCAAAATAAGATCAGCAGGAGCATGACCCTCTGGGAAAGCCAGAATAAAGAGCACCACACAATCTTTTTCACTCATGTGGCAAAGTCTGTTTTAGAAATAGTGATCTTAAAGACTATTCCTTTTCTTTCTCATTCACAGGACCCATTTCTATGCTAGTGATAAGATTCTCTTTCACCTGAATTGCTCAGTATTTTAACATGAGCATGACATGGTATATTTAATGCAATAATTTTTAGTAACAAGTGCAACTTGTGTTTCCCGGCTGTCAAAGGGTCACAAGAAAACATCAGGTATCTTACAAGTTACTGTCCAAAAAAGGAAGCAAAGGCAGCTTTTTTCCCACCTATGTTAATATAAAAGAGATTGTTGTTACCAGGGCCTCACCTGGCTGTTTCCCAGCCTCAGTGCTGAGCAATCTTTTCTGGCTACAGAAAGGTAGGGCATCTCCAAAACCCATGGACAACTTCCATAAACCAAGTTCAATTCCTAGGGCTCCCACTGTGCCTGCATAACACACAAGCAGTTTCAAACTCTGGCTGAGATTCCATACCATATGTACAGCCACTTCTATAAACAGCAGGGCCTATGATGCATGGAGGCCTCTGCTCAAAAAGCAGAGAAATCCAGATGGAATCACTGGTGGCCATTTCTGAAATATGCCTGCATGGCAGAAAGTATTCAAGGGTCAATATATATATTATTTTAAAGAGTTAACATTCCTGAACAACCCCTTCCAAAAAGTATGAACAAACAAACATGCTAAGTGTGAAAGAAGATTAAGCAAAGTAACTGTGCCAGTAAAATCATCACTAACTTGCTAATGAGCTTAGAAGACACTGCCACAAAGCAGCCAACAGCAATTTTCTAGACAGTAACACCCTTTACACTACCCTTTCTCAAGAGCTCTTAAAATTGCCAATCTCAATTTCTTCTTGCCTACTTGTTTTTCCCAACTTCACATGTGAACTATTCTGAGGCTGATCAAATCCGTATCCTGCTTTTACAGAGACTCCTTGGTGACTAACTGCTTTTCATTTTACCCACTTCAACACCCTTCACTAACACTGCAACTTTTTAATCAGCCAGGATCTCCATCAACAGCCTTGCTTTTTAATCTTTATCTACATGCACTTTTTTTGATTAGGGATTTTTTTTCCCCTCCCCAAACTACTTCGTAGTTTTACTACTTCAAGCTGCAGCTATTCTGTATGGGCTGCTCACAATATTAACCTTCATAGCACTGAGGCTGAATTACACACTCAGTTTCTTCTCTGCCTCTCATAGCCATAAAAACATACTGCTGTGCTTTTGAAGATGCTGTACTCAACACGAAATGATGCAATTCACCCTCCTATTCTGGCTATTTGTCAGATGAATGATGTCACCTTCCCTTTATGGTTATGCTATAATATGTTGTTGCAGGAATTTCCTAACATGTTCCGAATGCAGCAAGAGGACTTTTCCCAATAACCTGTCGAAGGCTGCTGCAGGGCAAGGAGCTTTTATCAGCAGGGTTTTTACTTTCTGGCTCACTTGACTCCCACTCATGTGTTGCATTATTTATAGGAAAAAGGAAGACAAAACACTTTTTACCTAGAACCAAGTGTATAACTTAGTGATACACCCCACAGGCTAAAAGAAAGAGCCAGATGTTCTTGACAGCCAAAAGTAGGTGTGTTTGTATTTGGGTATCCTTGTATGTGGCTATCCTTCCAGAGAGCCACCATCAGAGCAAAATCCAAAATCAGGGGGGCATGCAGGGCCTGCAGAAATCATCTTCCAGTTTAGGTTCTACACAGTAACACTACAAAGGCAGAAATAAGTCGATGGAAAATTCTGTATCTGCCTCCACAACATTGTATTTTCCCTGCAGTGCATTCCCTAACATGTTGTCAGTGTCTCTGGTGAACAGGAGACAAGTGGATATAAAAATACAGTCATGAGGTGAGAGCTCACAGTGCTGGGTTACATGGGCTTTCCACAGTGCTCCCAACCAGCAGCTCATTCACAGCAGAACTGGGATCTGAAACGTGGGAACACACCAAATGGCTCAGCCAAGAAGTGGCCATGCTCAGCTTTTGTGCTGCACGCTGGTTTAATTATCAGAAGAATTTTACTTCTTAAACAGTTTATTTAACTATTAAACAGGAAAGCCTAAAGTATAAACTACTTATAAATAGGTCGGAAACCAGAATTTCAACGTCCTACAAGCAGCCCTCGTGCTCTTGGTGTCAAAGCCAACATCCCTGCTCAGCCAGACAACCATGACTAGCAAGAGGACAAAAAGACCATTTTAATGAAAAATGTGATTTTCAGATTCAGCCTGTGGTTATTCAGGCAGTGAAACTGCAGCATGTTCCAGAGTTCTCACAGCAAAACAAATGCAACTTCCCAGTCTGCACTGATGCACAGCCACACAGAAAGTGTTTACCAGCGTTTCCAACAATATATCTACTTCCATTTACATTTTGTCTTTAGTCCTGGCAACCTCTCTCCCTGGTAAAGTTCAGTGATAATACCAGTGCACAAACAAAAAAGTAAACACTCATGAACTACATTGGCTTCTGTTGGATTTGGAATCAGCAGTGAGAGAATCCAGCCTTTGTCTGGTGGCATAGCACCAATCATGCTAGAAAAGGGAATGCCCCTCCAAAGCTGCAGGATAAGCAGTGGGGACAACTGAGAAGAAATGAAAATCTACAATGAATGCCCAATAGCAGCCATAGGAGCAGCCTGGCTCGTGGTACCAAAGGTATACATAGCCAATCCAGAATTAACAGGTGCAGCTCTTGATAGGCTTTTATGGCCTAAGCACAGTTCTTATGGTGTTGCCTTAAAGCAAAGACAATTTCAAGGGCTGTTATTCAAGTCCCAAGTCTTCTCCAGACTAACACACTCTAAATGTCTGCTTTCCTTTCAATTTCCCATCTGAAAGACAAATACTACTGTCTCTTCCCTATCCCTTTTTCCAGTCCTGTGGCTTTCAACAATGATATGCTCAGCTTCTTGCTGGGCAGGAACACCAGCATTTCACATGCTATTTGACTTTGGTTGAAGTCTTTCAGAAATTCTTACATGATCAAAGTGAGAGAGATCTTAAAGGTCTATTCCAGCCTCTCCATGAATACCATTGAGCTCTCCTAAGTTTTCCCTCCTGCCAAACAAAAACAGGCTATATGAAAATAAAAACTACTGTTTAAATGTGCTCTTTGCCCATACCTTGAGCCATTTAACCAAAGAGGCCAACTGTTTTTCAAAACTAGTTTAAATAAAACTGGAATACACAATTTTTCTTTCAACTAATTAAACCAAAATTAATTTTAAAATACAATGAAAAAATGTTTTGACAATTTAGCTGACATCTACACTGCCATTAATGAATGGGTCAAGTTTCCTCTAAGCAGCACAATCTCTGCATTACGTGATAATGTCTCAGTCAAACAGTCCTCAGACACCTATTGTCCTGAAGGGAAACAGTCTGGCAGTATGGAAATAGAAATGTGCCCTTTCTCCACCAATTCCTACATGCAGCAATGCAGACAGCAGGAATTAAGTTATATTAACAGCACGGCTGACCATTACAGCCACCCCTTTTAGGGTTTCACTTCTTCCCAGGTACTCAGTATGAGATTGTTTCTCTCTATCCCACACTGACTGAACAGTTTGTCCAATGTCAAACTAGCAACCAGCTGATGAGGTGTGATCAGAGAGTTTGGCAAGCCATTGTACCCACAAAGATTTTAACCAGGTGTTCAGAGAAGCCCGTGACATTTGACCATGCAAGACAAAGAACACAAGTCTTCCTATAGACTCTAGCTTTGAGCAGAGAGTGTGTACCAAATGAGAACAGACCAACTCAGCCTGCAGCTCACCACTCTTTTAAAGAGTAAACCTCTAAAAAACACTCCCAGCACTTTTAAAGCTGTTATCTTCGTGTCTTCTCTATCTGGTGCTTGGATGCTGTGGCACCTAATGCTTTTAAAGGTCAGATCTTTACATGCTAAGATAAGGAAAATCAATTTTAGTCCCCAAAGGTGGAATTGCTGTTCACAAGGGTTATCCTATGATACTGAAACAGCACAGCAGAAAACAAGGTTCAGCAGAGTCTTGTACTGCAGTAGTCCTGGCACAGTTCACCTGATTCTGAGCTCTCTGAAGAACAGAACATGAGTATAAGGAAGACACAGTAAAGTTTTGGAATCTTCTTTCCATCTACTGCAGGAAAAATACTTAAGGATTACTACTGGGAATTCTGTACATATTTGTGGAGATGACAGCAAGCCTTGCTTGCCAACACATTTGAAGACAATGACAAATGGGAATTACCAGTTTTATGAGTCCAAAATATTTAATTTGACCTTGCTGAAGGTAACTGAACTCACACAGATGGATTTCACAGGAGATGCAGGTGTGCATACTGCTTGACAAATAATGGAGCTACACTTCAGTGAGAGGTTGAGGAGGATACCTGTCATTTGACTCCAACACCCTCCTTCTCTCCTGCTTCTGTTCCTACGCAACGATATGGGTTAGCAAAGGTTTCCATCTGGAGACACTGCAGGCACAGCACACACAAGTATAAATGGGTTTAGATGGTTTGAACAGCTATGAGAAACTCTTTTCTCATAACTGGGGTGGTGGGCAATCACAGGTCTACCACCCTGAAGTGAATTTTGCTTCCTATAAATTAGGATGGGGTGTTTGCTTTTGAACCTCTATAGAAAGCACTGGTCCCAAAGATAAATGCAAGTAGAATCTACCAAATCACTATTTTAGGCTGATTTGTCATTCTCTGACATCTGGAGACTTTCTAACACACTGAGGGAAGAAGGGAGAAGGAAGGAAGGGAGAAGATTGTGTGCACATTAAAATGAAAATTAAAAAAAATCAAACAATCAAATAAAAAACCACACACACAAATATTCATGCTATTAAATTTGTTAAATGTTCAAGCACCCAGAAAATAGGGAAGTGAAGCCCAGCACAAATTGAAAGGGCATGCTAGCCTTTGGGACTCTCACCATAATATGTCTACTCAGCAAAGAGCTACTGCTTTGCAGCATGCAAAATAGTTACCTACAGCCAAGCCAGCATTCTGGCAAGCATCCTACTGGTCCTACCAGTAGAGAACTTCTGAGACACGAAAAAAAAAAGGTGTCTTGACACTCTCTCTGCAGCACAGCTGCAGACCATAAGCAATGGGAATGCCTCTGCTCAGACAGGGGACACTTGAAGACTCTTTCTAACTCTAGATGCACTTCACCTTTGATGAGTTCACCCCACTTCAAATATTCTTCCACTAAAGTGGGTCAAGTACTGCATAGAAAAGGGGGTTAGATTTCAATTGGACACCACATGTTCAGGGGCAGATAGAAGCAAGTGAATTTTGTATTCTTACAAAAATATACTTCATCAGTAATGAAAGCAAATGCATATAGAACAAGCCTGCTTTTTCATTGCTTGTATGCCAGATCTACATTGTAGACTAAATACAAGACAAAGAAAATCCAAGTATAATTTATTCAGCCATTTTTAACTCATGAGGCTGACCATAAAGTGTAAAAACAATAAATGGCTGTCAAAGTCTCATAAGAAGTTAAATGTTTAAAACACATTAATTCAAGTAAGGTAAGATATGACTAAGGCTAGATATAAAGTATTTTCTAATACATAAGCTGTACCCTTCCTTGCAATAAGTTCATTTATCTCCGCTGACTTCAGATTTAGTAATGTTTTCATTTTTCCATATAAAAATAAACAATACTTCCAGCATCACTGGGCGCTCACATCTAATTAAACAATGGAACTGAAGCTCTCGTGTGAAATTACTGTCAGTCTGTCTGTTGTCATTTTGCAGTCCTGATTAAAGAAAGCTTTCACTTTGTCTCCTTCCAGGTATGACAATGAATCCCCACTGAATGCAACTGGATGGCATCAAAGCAGCAATGACAAAAATCTGGTGGCTATGCACCTGTTTGCTCTAATTGCTTCCAATTATCCTGAAGAAGCTCTGTATTTCTGGGAAGCAATTCTTCCAGAGAATAACAATGATTTTTACATATCTGCTAAGTTATCAAGGTCCTAGCCCAAGGAATCATCAAATCTCTATCACATCTTAATTTCAAGTTCTGAAAACAGGGAGTGCAGTCACTTTTGGATGTGGGGAGGACTGGACAAACAAGGGAAGGCAGGGTAGAGGCAGCATCCATAAATGCCAACATGCTGAAGGCAGGAAATTGTATGTTGTTTCTAGAGTTAATACTGTGAACTGCAATGAAGTTTGTGGATATACTGTACCTATCAACAGCTGGATGGGGTGTTCTTATCACGCAACCAAGTAAATACTAACACTGGGTCACCACCATGGAGAGTGCCATGTTAAAAAAAAAATAGCCTATCACTTCTAGTAACATCATTAAATGTCTCAATCTGCTTTGACATGTAAGACCAGGGAATAATTGTTTCTCAGAGAAAGAAAAAAATAGCTGTTCCCAAAAGCACAAGATTGACTTGCACTACAGACATCATTATTAACTCAAGACTCCTATTTTGTTTTCTTTTGTTCCTCCAAAAGGTTAGAGACTGTACTGGTAAAACAGCCAGAATTACATTAAATGTGCAGGCTGTGGAAAATGTACCAATTACCCAACAACTCAAAACTGGGAAAAAAAAAATGCTATTTGTCATGTCTGTTAGTTTATAAAGAGGCAGTAGACAGGTAAAGAACAAGAAAAATCTATTTTCCTGGTTAATTTGAAAAAGAAAAATAGAATGAGGAAAGAACAGAGAGACCAAACAGAAGAAACAAAGAACAGGAAAAAAGATGTCTAACAAAATTCGGGGTCCTTTCCCAAGCTTTCAAACTGAGAGCAAGTTAGAACCAATCAGGTTCATTATCTGAACCATTGCCACAGTTGCAGGCAGATGTAAGGTAACCACAAAGGAAAGGCCACTAAGCAGTCTGGGTGCTAAAGTGACTGGTAAATAGGACAGTGTTTTTCTGTGATGTGCCTTATATTGAGAAAAAGTTCCAGGATGTCCCCTTTTTGAAATTTTTCAGTTAAAACTCTCTTGTGTTATTAGTCAGTCTCTGTAACAGTAGTTAATGTATCTCTAAAGCTGCAAATCTAACAAACATTAGGTGCTCTGCAGTTTGTTAAACTTGAAAGCAAGCTCTGTGCTTCCCTTTTTCCCATGCCTGTGACCCTCTGTGTGCAGAGCAGAGCCGTGGCAGCTCCGTCCTTCACGTCACACAGCACAGTTACTGCACAGCTGGGCTTCATTCCAGGCCACCTCTCCTGCACAGGAGCAGTGCACAGCAGGGCAGGAAACACTCCTCACTCCATGGGTACCTTGCTCTAAATCTGCATAAAAGACAGAGAGGCCCCAGGCTCCACTGTAGGCCATATGCTGCAGCGTGACAGAAGAGTGGCTGCATCGTCTCTCGGTGCCAAATCGCTGATAACTAAGAGAGAATTCCTGACTCTCCCAGATCCCAGGACTGCAGCTTATTTACTTGGGTTTGGATGCATAGATGTGAGCTGCATATGGTCCCCATGGCCACAAACTGAGCTAGGAACAGAAATCAGCTTTTAGAAAATAGGTAAATATTGGAGGCAGGTAGCCCTAGGAAGAAAGCAGCACAAAGCAGGGCCATACAGACTGCATACAGGCAGTACCAGCTTCATTGTTAGAAGGCAAAATTGTTAAGAGCAAAATAAGTTACAGAATGCAATTTTTTCAGCTTAACATCTGGCTGGGCTGAAGACCTCAGTGTATTCACACTTCAGGTGACACAGATTAAATAGATTATCTTCATTAATGAAGATGAAAATAACTGCATGACATAGTCCACACTAGGTGAGACACCAAGTTTGGGGCAAGTTCATCTGCTGATAGTTGCAGTTACAGACAGACTGAAGTTCCTAGGAAAAAATAATGTGCCAATTAAGGAATTTTTGTCCAAAACAAAAGACATTTCATCTGAAAACATCAGAAGTAGTTCAGATTCTAAAACAAAAGATGGGTTCTTTTTATTCCAAAATTACTATTGACTGGCTTTGCTATATCAAGTTGTCAAAAACTGAGAAAGTATGTTCTCTGTAGTGGAAACTTGCCTAAACCTAGCTTGTGTACTACCATTGTTGATGGAACCTTCAGTGTTGTCTTAAAGCATCACACACAGATTACTCTAAATGTCAGAACAAATTAGAAAGCTTCCTCTGCCTCCCTGAGTGACTTTCATCTCTAATGTTCTCATTTCTCCCTTTCAGATCAAGTGGCAGAACTGGGGCTTATTTAGCCCCAGATAAAGCACTGTCCTCCAGGGTGACAAAATTGCAGTTTACAGTACAATTAGGAACACCTTTACACACCTACATTAATGAACAAACCAATTGACTACTTACTGTTCTTCTTGTACATCAAGATTTCAAAGGAGTTCATCTCATAGTTCTCAAATGTTTGCCGGACCTTGTCGATTGTATCTTTGTCTGTCAGCTCTCCATACATAAAACTGCAAATAAAGGGAGAAATTCCAGTCAGATACCAGACAAAGACACAAAGCCATTTGTTTACTGTGTAAAAAGGACCCATTTAGAAATGGCTCTTCTTTGATTTTGTTTCACCTGGAAAGCACATTTGACAGATGTAGCCCCAGGAGACAAAATACAAAACTGGAATAAACAGATTACTTTTCTCCTCAAGTAACAGGCACAACACTACAAGTTATTTAACAGAAAATAAATCTGTTCTCAAATACCTGCAGGTGCTGCTTTTTTGCATAACTTCTGCTCTGTGATATCCTGATAACTTGCAAAATCCATCGTTGCTGTAGACAATGGGCCAATCCACAATCTGGGCATTACCCAGGACAAAATTAGTATCTGTTTGAAAAAACACATCAGTTAGACATTAGTCAAAGCTATGGTTGGATTAGAGGAAATACTCATTTCAGAACCCAATCCCAATCGCTTCAGCCCCTGCACAATTTTCCCAGCTATCATTCCCACTGCAGTGAACAGGATTATTCCTGATTTTAATTTTAAGTAAATTTTTATTTTTAAAGAAGTGGTAATTACTCAGAGCATAAATAAAACACATGATGGTTAAGCAGGTAAAATTCATCTCTTGACTGAGGACAGATCCACCAAACTGTTTCCCTCTGTGCCACATGCAGTGATCCACATGACACTGAGTTTGAAGGTGAAGCCTCTGACAGGTGGCCAAACCAACCCATGAGTGATACTTCTCCTCCCTGAATGCAGGCACAGGGGCTCCTCTCAACACTGCCCTCACTGCTGGCCACACAAGCCCAAACACTCGTGTACAGCACAGCACTCCAAACTAAGGGCTAGCAATTACACCAGCAGAAGGAACTCCTTGTTTGCAATACAAGCCAGAAGCAGTTTCAATCAGTACAAAAAAAAAAACCCCAAAACAACCAAGCAGGATTCACGCCTCCATTCTTGCTGGGGCTGTGCGTGCCACAATTTTATGCTTGCCAACTCAAACCTACACCTGTGCCAAAACAGACAGCAGTGCTGCTCCCCGGGCACTGGCAGGCAGCAGGAGATGGTGGCTCCTGACACAGCTGCAAAGACCCTCTGGCTTTTGGAAGAAAGGCTGGGCACTCACATGAGATCAAGAGGCACTCATTTTTAAGGAGAGCCCTTACGGGAGTCCAACACACTGCCTACTTTTCAGTAGCAACTCCCAGCTGCTCACACATCCATACAGCTCATTAATGCTCCCTCCAAACAAATGACATTTTACCTATTAATTGCAGGGAGTTTAGTTTGCTTCAAGTTCCCCTTTCAAAATCTTTCACCCCAAACTTCAAGTGGGTTTCAATAAAGCAGTCCCGTATTTAGCTAAATCCACTGCCCAATTCCACAAGCATGATCAAGTGTATTTTTACACACTCTTTAGAATGAAATGCACCAGTAATATAACTTCAGGATATTTTAGCTGCTTTGTTCCTCACAGCCTCTTTTAAATACCATGGGTTTTGCTTAGTTGAAGTACTTTCTCCCCAAAACAGTATAACTCTTTTACCCCTTCCTACGAGTAAGTAAACCAAGTCATTTCTCACTGCTAAAGCAAGTGCTTTTGGTTGTCTGTTATAAACACTACATTAGACTGTGTTAGGATATTTTAAAATTTCATCAGGAAGTACAGAAAACGACCAAAAAAAAGGCAAATACAAATGTTAGGTGGGGTCCTGCCCTGATCTGAATAGCGTTATTCCATGCATGAATTGCATCAGAATTGCTTCTGACTGCCTTCCCTTCTCAAAAAGTAACTTTCCCTTCTCTCCACTTCCTAAAGAGTTCCTGTTAAGAATTTGCCTCCCTTTCACACTTAAACCTTATTGTTTTCAGATAAATAATCTCTTGGGTTTTTTTCATTGAAGGCTATATAGGACACATTTCTGATAACCATCACTGTGATAATACTACTTTTATCTAGCCTTGCAAGGCTTCTGTGAGTTACAACAATGCTCTTATCTCCTATTTATAGGTGAAAACAAAGCCCTAAATCCACAAGGGATTTAAGCTCCAAAAGTTGAGACTGCAAGAGTCTAGTCCCTGATGCCCAGCTCTCAAGGACTTGGGAGCTGGAAGCTCTGTGAGCACTGCTGGAGAGGAGAACTAAAAAGCTTTAGCACAGCAAATAGAAATCTGACCAAGTTAAATCACAGAAAACAATGAAAAAGGGGGATATTTTAAGGCTGTTTTTTTCGCTTTCCCATGTTTGTTACAATACCTAATATTTTAACATAAGCCCAGTTCTCATAGTTAATACTCAATTCTTTGCCATTATTGCAGGAGCTGAAGAATCGTGTTCCCACTTATGTTTTTGGCCCAGCAAAGCCCATGACAGTTTCCAAAGGATGCATAGAGAGCATGCACACATTTCCCTCCCTAAGCAGCAGTTTGGACATTCTCCTAGAAGATAAGGCTACCTTAGGGCAGTGAAAGCTCGACATTATTTCAGCTCTCAAATGACTGTTCTAATCATCAAGCCACCACAGCAAATAGATGTCAATACCCTCATCACAGGAGTTTTTAAGTCAGTATGACTTGGCTGTTGTATTTTATGCACCCCTATTAGCCAGCACTGGGTGAGCTTCTCTAGCATGTAGAGGTACAATGTTTCATCAGAGTCCAGGCTGGATTTAGTTGTGAGTCAGAAGCAAGCTGGGAGATCATTATGTACCCATAAAACTCTAAAGGAAAAATTTTGCACAACTATCAACCAAAGAACAAGTCAGAGATGTTGATGATCCCATTGTTTCTTAAGTGTCTCTCCCTTCTAGCTAATTCAAACTTCATGCATCTTGACCTTTCTTTGATCCAGGCTTTACATAGCTGACAAACACATCTCATTTCTTGAGAAGGGTCTCTGACAACACTGTTTTGCCTGTGTGAACGCTGGCAAGACACAGCATAAAATAAGGGCTCCCACTTCTAACTCCAGCGCACAGCCCAGGAGTAGAAGGGCTGTCCTCGCTGCTATCATTTACATTCAATTGCAGTGACAGCCCTGACAATGTGCTGCTTGGGGACAGCTCATAACCTGGTCATTTTTCCTAACATAAGAAAATACTGAATAACATCCACTGAGGCAAATACTGCCATTGCATCTGCAGGGACACAGGGTCCCTGAGACCAGGAAACAGCTGTGGCTTTGTTACACAACAAGCACGAGGGATGCTCTAGTGAACTCTGAGTATCACAGAGCAGAGACTCTTGGGGACTCACAAGTGGGTCAGCAAGGCCAGGAAAGGAGCTGGCCAGAGGAACACCATGAAGAAATCTGTTGCTAAATTCTCTTCAAAGACAGGGATGAAATGGACATAATAGTAATAGCAGCAGTATCAAAACTATTTGGTGACTTGAAAGGACTCAGTGAACTCCCCTACCTGAAAATCAATTTCTATCACAATGGCAGCTGTGTTAGCAGTACTGCCTGGCCCAAGAAGAAACTGTAAGCATCACTGGCCCTTCCTATGAGCTAGAACTAGAGAGAGCAGGCTCATATAAGACCTGGGCTTCTGGCTTGTGCTGAATTGCTGACTTTGGCACAGTCTGAACAAGACCAAGGAAATATGCAGAGGAAATATGCAGAGGTGCAGCACAGAGCACAATGTGCTGCAGAAACACAAGTAAGAGCTGTAACATCACAAAGGCAGCACAATTACTTGGATGAGTAGGGCAGGCTTCTGCAGCATGGATTACTTTGTGAAGTGCATCACTTCCTATTTTCTAGCCTGCATTTTCTCCAGGTTAGTTCTGCTCACTGCAGTATACCTACGTCAGCATCTACACACTCAAATGTCAGATCCAGTTTGGGTTATCACTTTAAAGTAGACATGGCCACTTAAAAGCAACAAGAAAAACATTTTAGCTCCTTCCAAAATGTAAGAATGGATTTCACTCAGTCACTGAAACCAGTACTTTCCTCCACTTAGAAAACACACCATCACAGAAGAATCAGAAAATGTCTTTCTAAATAAACTTGGTCCTTTTAACACTAACAATCACAGGTGTCTAGAGCATCCATTTTACCAAAACTACTCTATCTACTGAATCCTACTGTTATATTTAGTACTGTGTTTAATCAAAACTGTCCATCAGCTTCCAGAATTCCTGTAGATAAGTTGCACTCACAGACATTTATCTGGCCAGGACTAACTGACTAAGGAGTGTTCACCTCCTTGCATGAACGTGGAGCAAGTCACTGAAATGTTTTCCCCCTACCATTCATTGCCCTGCACAGCTACATATTCACTACCACTGCATCCCAGCCTCTCCTGTAGCATGGATCTTGCCAAGCTGAGACGACCCCCCCCCAGCCCATCTCTTTCCAGAGGCCAGCAGACAGGTTCTACCTTCCCAGTCCCACCAGTGATGCCCAGGTCCTCTTCTGGGAAACAGTGGCAGAAGGTCAGAGACCAACAGACAGACATACTCCCACAGCACTGCCAGACATTCCCACACTGAAGGTGTTCCCTCATTGCACAGGGGAAGCTGAGGGGAAGCCTCTGCCCAGGCAGTCCTAGTCCTGGTAACAGGAGAGGCTGGTGCCCACTGCACTTTCCCATGTTTGGGTCAGTCAAATCCCCCAGGGTGCTTGGGTTTGTGTAGTGCACAAATGGGATTTAAATATATTAATATATTTCCCCACAGTCATCATACAAATACAACACTCAAAAGGTTTGTTCCCAATCTATTCCCCCTTGAGGAAAAGGAGAAGCAGGCTCAGTATGGTGGGAAGGCTTGCTCCTCACCAAACTTGCTTGTTCTCCCATGAGAGAGAAGGGAAGAGGGAAAGGGAAAGAAGAAGGAGAAGAGAAGGGGAAGAGAAGGAGAAGAGAAGGAGAAGGAGGAGATTGCCCTCCTCATTGGAGACCACAGCCTCCCTCATGTTGGGTGATGACAGCCCTGGTTATTGAGACCAGCAGGTCTTTTTTTATCCTGTCTCAAACTCTTCCCATGGATCTTCAGGGCAGCAAACCTAGTTCTTTAGCACTAACAAGCACAAACCACTCCTACAGCAGAACCAACAGAGCTGCTTCCATCTAACTAACAGGTTTGCTTCCATCACATGTGTCTCTCACCCTCCCCACGGAACAGGGTAGAGGATACAGCTACTGCTGCCTGAGATGGGCACAGAACAGCAGAGATGCTGTGTCACAGCCAGGGTATGAAATGTGCAGCAGGCAAAAATCATGTGCTGCTGTCATAGCAGTAAAGATTGTATCATGCAGCTTAAGGACAAGGGACACGTGGTATCTACAAACTTGTGACTTTGCATAACAAACAGCATCATTTGGAAACTGGGGGAAATGAGATTGCATCATTTCTGTCTAATTTCTTAC